GGGAGCAGGACGAAGGAAAATAAGGACAGGGTGAGGATGGAGATTAAGAAAATAAAATGGGACAGGCAGCACAACAGTGCTATTAAAAAAATAGGGGCAGGGAACAGGACAGAAAGATACAGTGAGAAACAATGGCCCATAGAGCAGGAAAGAGCAACAGAATACAAAAGGAAGCAGGATTCTGAGAGAGGCATGGAGGACAGACAGAAGGACAGAATAGGTAAGAAGGACAAACATATAAAAGGACAGAGTAACACAGAAGGAGTATCAGGGAGGACACTGGGCTAAAATGAGAAAATGAGGGGCAGTGAGCAGGACAATATGGTAAACACACATTGGGTTTTTTTTCTTTCATGTAGGTCCTATTTTCTTACATTTTTCAAGCCTTTTATTTTTAAATTTATACATAGAAAAGTTGCATTTGTACTTCCAAATCCTGTAAAATTTCTTATATTCTAAAATCTTGTATATAATTGATATATTTTAATTTGAAAATCAAGGTATACACAAATCAATATTATTTTTCTCTATATACAAAAACTAGAAACTTTACAATTTCTAATACATAAATGAGTATGAGCAGAAATTATGTATTTATTTAAGGTCTGATGATGGCCACAGTTGTACAAGCATAGTGTGACAGTAATAACATTACTATCTATAAGATTAACATTAAAATTATATTCTTGCATATATAATACAGAAAGTTATCAAATACCAAAATGTACCGAAAATCTATTTGGTAATTGCTTTTATGTGTTCTGTGAATATAGCAAATTACCATACTGTACTGTTGCTAAAATATAATTTTGATGTATCCGGTTTCTAGAGTGCATACAGTACAAGAACAAATATTTGCAAAAGTCCGGTTTCACTTCTAACTTCTTCCAAATAGTTGTCTGTAGTCTGTGAGGTTAAACCTAGGCACCCAACTTGTCGGGTTGTTTTCTTCAATGAGCCAAGCAGCCAATAGTTGCTATAAAGTTGTTTATTGCAAAAGCATGTCAGTCTCAAAAGCAAAAGTCACAGACAGTAAAGTCCATGCTAAGTTTTGGTATAAAGTCCCAAATAGAAGAAGAAGTAAAGCAAAAGCAAATGGCAAAAGCAATGGCAAAGAGTAATGGCAAAAGCGATGGCAAAAGCACCTCCTCTCCCCGATGCATGTTCTTATACAGAAACTTCTCAACAAGCAAAGACACAAACTCGGACCACTACGTCTTATCCTCTTGGAATTCTAGTTTCTTAGCACGCCAGGCTATGTATAAACTACATATATGGTCTATCTTGTTCTATCTGAAAAACGTAAGCAATATTCTTTCTATAGGTTTATTATGTCTAAAACTATGTTCTTGGAACCTCCACAGAAACACTAGTATCTAAGACTATGTTTTTCAACCTTCACTAGAACATGTATTACTACTCTGGCATCCAAGACCTTTACTCACTAAAAGCACTTAAAATTCATTCTACTTACTTACTTGCTTGCTTATACTAAAACTTAAACTTGTATCTCTATTTTATATGTGAGTGGCTTAACATACTTCAATCCATCCAAAGGCTTTCATTCAATCCCTGCACTCTGATTTCTCTCTGAAGAATTCAGAGAGATTCCTGACTTGCTGACTCCAACATAGTCTGCTGCATATATTTTGAAATGGATTATGATATGGATTAAGACAATGACATAATTCTTGGTCTTTTCAGCTACATATGGAAACAATACATACAGAAGAAATTAAAAGCCTTAGCTAAATGAATTCACCTCTCAGACAGAAATTATAGTAATCATCTATCTGCCTTTGGTAAAACAGTAGTTTCTGTCTGAGCATTTCTGCCCAATATTAAAATGTTTCTGGTAGAACTTCAAGCATTCCCCATCAGCGGCTTTTTTCCTCCATAAAAATCCTTCAGAAAGGAAAGATATACCAGAAAAATTGTTGGTAACACATTCAAACAAGTCACATCTAGGTTTAAAACAGCAGGAGAAGGAAGAAAATTTTTGGGTGGTCTGACAAATATTGAAAAGAAACAAATTATTTTTCTAACAGTAGGCCCATGAAAGCAAAACTGACTGAAAAACACAGGGTTTTCTTACCAAGGCAGAACAAGGTGCTACTACCTGTCTAGAGGATATTCATAATAATCCCCTAAAAAGTACTGAAAACCAAAATTTTTTAAAAAATTAAAAATATGATCACAAATTATCATATTGGCAATATTCACTGTTTTTCAAGTATTATGTTCAAGTTGATTTAATACATTTTTCTGAGCATACACAAATATTCAGAGTGCCTAAGTACCTTTCCCTGCCTTGGCACAGATTGTCCTCAGAAGCAGCCAGGACTCAGAGATATTGTAATTGCTCACCAGAGAGCACTGCCATATCACTGTCACAAAAAAGCAATCTCAGCCAACTTCCTATGCCCAAAACTCACCTTAAGAGTTTACAGTGTGTTTTAAATAAACCAAAAATCTTTAAAGTTGTTTACTGGAATTGTTTTGAAACACAAAATGGAATAAAATTCCTAAGTGCTTAAACATCTTAGGCATTAATTTGAACACTTTTGCATGGCACATATGAAATATCTCAGTTTTATAGAGTAGAGCTGCAAGAAACCATATGATAATTTTCTCAAAGAAGGGGAACGGAATTAGTTTTTTCCTCTTATATTTCTGTCAATGGAACATTGAGCACAAGAACATAGCGCATAAAATGTATTGGTTTTCTTGGACATGAAAATGTTGGAAAGACAGGCATATATCATTAAAGGTGGCTATGGGTACTACATCTGCAAGCCTTCCTCCCACGGCATTTTCTCTAGTATGGCTAAGAGGGGGACATACATACAGTCTTCCAGGTATGACCAGACGATATCAGGAAGCGCAGTAGTTCTAAGACAATTTAAAAAAAAAAAATTGGATTCCAGCTTTTGAGGTCACTTTATGTGGCAGTAGTGCAGTAGCATTCCTGAGGGTGGTGTTCTGTTGTAGAACCAACTTAGAGCTTCCCATTTGTTATTGAAGAGCAGGACACAGCCCTTCTTGCTGAGATGCCCCCAGAATGCTGGAGTCAGCATTGTTACTGAAGGTTAGAGTTGATAATTGTTATAAATGAGAGACAAAAGTCTCGATATTCAGCAAAATTTTAGATTGCTTTATTTGATATAGAAAGAGCAAGCAGCGCGCTGGGGAACGCGAGGGGTCACCGCCCACTCCACGCTCCACCGAACCTTGGTTTGCAGC